TTCCTAATAGAATATAAGTTCCATGAAGGTGAGACTGGTTTCATTTTTGTTGTCATTCTATCCCTAGCGTAGTGCCTTTTACATGGTCAGTGCTATAATAAATGTTTGTAGAATGACACAGGTTTTCCAGGTATGAGGTGTAATTATGGGTAATGCTACTTGATTTTTTAAAAAGCAAACACTTAAGTATGTTTATATCCAAATTAATGTTAGCAGTCTCAAAGTAGTCACCTTGGGAATCTATACAGTTATTCTCGATGGGCAGCTAGGTGGCACAGTATATAAAATGCCAGATCTGAAGTCAAGAACTCATGAGTTCAAATCCTACACTTATTGTCAAATCAGACACTTATTGGCTATGTGACCCCGGGCAGGTCACTTAACCTGCCTGCCTCAGTTTCCTCATCTGTAAAATGGGAATCATAATAACACCTACCTTGCAGGATTGTTGTATCACATGAGATTATATCTGTAAAGTTTTACAAACCTTAAAGTACTATATAAATTCTATCTTTTTTTAAAATTCTAACAACAATGCTTGATAGTGATCAAAATGTTGATGGACCTACTCTCTGGAAAAGTCTCTCCTGAACTCATTTGCCAGCCACTTGATAGATTCAGTTTCCTTCTTTTACATGTTGCTTGTTTTTTTTTAAACCCCCAAAAATCAGTTTCACCCAGATTATTGTCAACCTTTACCCTCCAACATGGCTCCAAAAACAAAACAAAAAACCCGTTAGCAGATAAAGATATGTAGATGTTGAGGTAAAGACAGAGGAGATCCAGAAATGTTTTGAATAGCGGCAACATCATTGAGAGAAGTGTACCCTCCCCAACATGATGGCCTTGAAGAAGCCCCCTTTTGGAAGAATACGTTTAGAGATGCTTTGGTGGATCTGTGACTTCATTGGTGTGGGCATCCTCCATTGGTGTGGGCACCTCCATCAGTGCGGGGCGCCACCTTGAACAAAGTCCCATTCCAAAGCATCATCTTAGTACACAGGTGACCCTGGGTGTGTAAAGACTACAGCACCCAACCAGGAGCTGCCTAGCTGCAGAGGCTTTACAGACCACAGGTCTCGTAATAGTCTATCTGTTTTCTGAGAATCACATGAGCTAAAGAGAGACTCATCACCAGGGAGATGTACTTCTGGGGGCATTGCTAATCTTGCAAGCAGAGTATAGCATCACCAGTATGGAACCACTCACCAGCAGCAGACTGGCTTCGCTGTGAACACACGTCCTTCTAGGTCTTCATCTTGAAGCCTTTCCTGTTCCCCCAGATGCTCGTCCCTCCCTCACTATTATTTTGTATATACTTCTATCTGTATATGTTGTTTGCCCCACCTATACTGTAAAAACACCCTGGGCACAGGTGCTGTTTTACCTTTGTAGCTCCAGTGCCTAACAGAGTATGTGGCACTTAGTAGTAGGTGCATATTACATGCTTTTGCTTGATTGATTTTCACTCCATAAATGAACTAGTTCATCTTTTTGTGCTGATCTTGGTAAGCCATCTCCCCAGAAGGAGAAAATGGAGTCGGAGGAGCTATTTCCCGAGATCTGCCCTGCCAGGTATTCCCTCACGTTAAGTTGCTTAGTCAGTACAGAAAATATCCATTTCAGCTGCTCCACCATGGGGGCCAAACACTTGAAAAGGGAAGTCTTTTTTCTAGTGCTCTAAAGAGCAGCAGTCTTTATCAGTGCTGTCTTAGTGCATTAATTTTTTTCTTACCAACCTCAAGGGCTATAATACACACAGTACTACATGTGAGTCACTGAGGCATATGTGTTTTAATGAGATAGTATTGACTTTTTAAAGGATAGTTACTCAGGGATGCAGGTGCAGAGACTTAGGAGCTGAGTGGGTTTCTTGTTGGATTTTTTAAAAATCCCACTTGTTTCTTAACTGGGTTCTTCTGAATCTACAAAGAGCATTTGACGTTGTTTTTTGTTCCCGGATTTTATTCATGTATTTTTAGTGCTTCAATATAAATAGCCCAGAATCACACGAGAAACACTTGGGACTGCTTTACATGTGAAACTGTCTCCTGCCCAAGTCCTTTTAGTACATCAGTAACTATATCTCCTTGATAATAAAAATAGTAATTACAGCTCACATTTATATAGAACAATGTTTACAAATGCTTTCCTCATAACAACTCTGTAAGGCAAATACTATAGTGCCTTCCATGTGGTGGTTGGCTGGGCTGAACAGAAATACTGTTATTCCTAGTGGACGGGTGAGGCACCTAAGATTCAGAGTGGTTTTGCACCTTGCCAAAGATCACACAGCTAATAAGGGCTAGAAGTAAGACTAGAACCCAGGTCTGATGGTGGGGTCAAATTGGGCCTAGCAGGTACCTAATCCCACTATAGAGAAAGTAATATGACAGTGAGGTCCTAGTACAGATCATTTACATCTTTTATAAAATGGGAGGGAAGCATTCCAAAGAGAGCGTTTCTAAAATTGCTGTCTTAGCCAGAGTGGCATTGGTCTAGAGATGGAAGGAACTTCAGAGGACATCCACTCCAATTCCTTCATTTTATAGACGAACAAAACTGAGGTCCCAGGAGATTCATTGATTTGCCTCAGGTCACATAAGTAGTAAGCATCAGAAACGGGATTTTCACCTAGATCCTTTACTCCAGAGTCCATGTTTTTCTTTCCACCGTCCTAACAATTGGTAACTGAGATAAATTAGAGCAATACTCTGATTTCCCAAAGCTACCCCATTTAGTAAAGATCCTTTAACTTTATTTGAGTGAATGTAAATTCCTTTCTCAAGAGCTAGGGCCGATGTCTTAGGTATGACTTTATGGGTTTTGTTGCCTTCTGAATATTAAGTTATCACTATCACAGAAAAAAAACATCTGAAAATATTCTACGAGCAATGCTCAGAACATCTAAATATGACTCATCTTACTAAATAACTTGAGTACCTGTTTACAGACTAGAAAAGTTGAACATTTAAAGACTTAAATGTTACAACACTTCAATTTTTGTATAGCTTAGCGAAGAAAGGGGCAGTGATAACCTCTCAATGTCAGGAGCTCAGTACAAAGAAATCTTTACATTTGCAAGAGTGAATTGTGGCAGACCACTTATCAACAAAAATAAAGTGAAAGAAGAGAGTTTTTTTTCTTTTGTAGGACCTCAGGGTACCACAGAGGACAGTGCTGGATTTGGAGTTAAAGGCCCTGGCTTCAAACCCCAGCTTCTTCCACTTATGTGACCTTAGGCCAGTAACTTAACCTCTGTGGGCCTCATCTGTAAAATGAAGGGCTCAGACCAGAGGACCTCTGAGTTCCCTTTCAACTCTGTATCTACAATCCTATGATTCCAAGAAAACAAAATATAAAAATAGATAAGGCTGTAACTCAGAAATTAAGGGAATCACAAATACAGGTGGCTCAATTATCTGTGAGAGACATATTCACTTTACAGATAATCTATAGGAGGTTTTTAACTCTAGGCTCATTTCCCTGGTAGCCTGATTACCATGCTTTATTCCAGGTACGAGAATGCAAACTCATTTTAAACTACATTGAACTAAGAAGGTTAGAATTCCTGGAGGAAAAAAAAAAAGAACTACATTTCAAAGCAGAATGGAAAATGTGAGGATTATCTGCTGCCTGGGATACTCTGTCATTGCTTTCCTCTTTGTCGCTGGATAATTCAGAGTTGAGGCATTGGGTTACTGCCAGAGGAATGCTGCCCCAGAACAGTGATGGACCCAGGGCAAATCACAAATCCTTTTGGCTTCAGTTTCCTTGCCTGTAAGCCAAGGGGGACAGACTATGATTTCTAAATTCCCTCTCCACTACAAAATTCTCTCTCTGTCTGAAACACCAAAGAGCTCTGGTGAACATCTTTTACAGGCTCTGCACTAAATCAGGCACTTAACATATTAGGAAATGTTTCTACTAATAATAATCAGACAGTGAGAACAACATATGACCTTTTCCACCACTACCTAATAAAAAGGAAACATTACTACAAAACCTTTCATGAAAACGATAAGAACCTTCTCTTTCCAGAAGACACTTTTTACTAGATTCTGTTCTGTACGACAGAGGTTCCTTTTAAATAGTAGGGAAGAGAATAAATATTTATATAGTGCCCATTATGTGCCTGGCACTATGCTAAGCACTTATACAAGGATCAGTTCAGCAATGGGAGGTAGGTGTTATTTTTAGTTAAAAACAGAGGCAAATATAAGCGAAGTGTCTTGCCCAGGATCATACAACTAATAAGAGACTGATGCTAGATTTGAAGTCAGATCTTCCAGACTCCAGGCCCAGCATTCTATCTGTGACCCCACCAGTTGCCTCTGCTTGTAGCCTGCTTATTCCTTCCCTCCTCTCTCCTGAGACCTTTCACTGCCATAACTGATTTCAAAAACAAAAACAAAAACAAAACTATATGTACTTCTTCCAGTTATAAGCTGGTAATTTACCTCTTAAACCCTTCTCCTAGGGGTGATTAGAAAAAGCCACACAGCTGGGGCAGCCCAGTATCTACTTACGGGATACTCTTTTAGGGGAAAAAAATAAGGTAGAGAGATGAGGACGAAATTTGGTATTCTATTGTGGTGCAAAACAGTGGCTATTTTAAACAGCCCAGACCAAGATCACAGTGATGGTTATAAGGTGAGATTGTTCAATTCAGTTGCTTTAGTCACTCCTGGTTATTATGCAGGAGCACCTGCGGTACATCTGTACAGCATGTGCTATTTTTCAAGAGGTTTATTATCCCACTGGGCATGTTAATTCCAAAGCTTAAAATGTGGTGAAGATTTACAGTACTCAAAAGTACCAGCATTCTGCCTCCTGACCAGGAAACCTCAGCTTCCAGCAACCCTTCCATCTTACTTAGGTCCCTGTTCTCCTTTAAATTGGCCAATATTCATAGCTTCCTTCTCTCTCTCTCTTTTTCCCTTTTGTCTGTCTGGGTACCTGAATGCTAGGAAAGCAGCAAGAACAGGGTGTTGTCATACCTGTCATGTCTTAGTGCCCTCATATCAACATACACAGTGGTTGGATCAGGTCCAGATGTTCCCTGTAAACAAGGATATGTTTTAGTTAATCGGGGTTGTGAATGGAAAGAAGATTTCCCTGACTATGGAGCACTCATTCTTTGTGCTCTACACTTTACTTATGGGCTATTGGTGAGCCAATAAAATGGAAGCATGTAATTTAACTACCAATTAAGTATATTTTTTGTAGAGACATGTTTAAGTTACAATCTCTGATTAGAAAAAATATGCATAAAACCATACCTACCCAGAGGCACCTGTTACCTTTGGGATTGATGATCAGAACTTCAAAAGAGACTGGTCTCAAAAAAGAAATTTATCAACATAATTGTGGATATTTCAGAAGGCTTAAACAATTCAAATGCAGTTACAGATAATGGAAATAATGTACCATAAGAGGCATGCCAAATGTCTTGCCAAATAAAAGAAAGCTGGGATCGTTTAAGAAAACATTGGGGTGGTAGAAGCAGGGAGTCAAGAATATGAAACATGGTTTGCTGAGAAATTTTTACTGCATGCACCAAAAAAAGGTGTGTGTTTAGAGCTCAAGATATTAATGCAGACCACGTGGCATGAACTGACATGGATTAGGGAGGAAGATGCAAAGAGCAATTACTTTGTTCCTTCTAAGCCTTCTACAACTCTGTGATCCAATATTTCTATTTCTGCTTTGGAAGCTGTCTTTTCTGTGAAATGCAGAGGTTGTCTACACCAGCCCTATTCAGGTGGATGGGATATTATGATATCTAAATGGGAATTTCTTTTCTATCTGACTGATTAGTCATGGTGCCTAGGAATGAGTCCTCACTGGCTCTGTGCCTGAATGCTTTCTTTTTTCATTATTATCTGAATGTCATTTTGTTTATGCTCTCCAACTAGAAAGAGAATTTGACTAAATTCTATTGCCTCTGACATTTTGCCTCGGCTTCATGAATCCCTGCAGTAGCCACACTAAGAAGAACAACATAGCATGAAATAGTAATTCCATTCAGTCTCAGAATGACAAGCCGGCTTCCACACAGGCACTAGGTAAGGCAGTATATGTTGTTCTGTGGTGGAGAAACATGGAATCCATTGAAGAAATGGTGGTGATGGTGAGGCGATATGAAACTGCCATATGAGTATGGTTAAAAAAATTTGGGGATGTTTAAATAGAAGAAAAGAACAGTCAGGGTAGGGGAAAATACTCATCTTTCAAGAATTTGAAAGGCTGTCATGTAGTAGAGGGGTTAGGCTTTTTCTGCTTGACCTTAGAAGGCAGTACAAGGATAAGAATTAAAGGCCCACATATCAGCTTAGCATTAAATGAGATGGAATGCCTGGGGTGGGGGTGGGGGTTAGCAAGTTTCCCATCAGCAAAGATCTTTGAGGGAAGGCTGGATGACCATTTATCTGATATATGATAGATGGTATTCATACTGTGTGCGGACATTAGGTTAGACCTTTGCGTTCGACAGTTCTTTGAGTCTGATTCGGTACCAATTTTCTGACTATAGAAATATCAGCTGACATTTTAGTTGTAGAGCTACACTCATTCTCTAGGGGAAACCGTAATTCCATTCCAAAGGTAGACAAGTAAACTAAATTTATTGATGAGCTATTAACTCTATACTCTATTTACTTAACATTGCTTCTCATCAAGAACCCAACACCAAGACAGAGAAAGATCTAAGGAGCAACACATGCGGGTTAGCCTCTAGGATGAAGATTACATTAATATACAATACAAGGAGCGCCTAACTGGCCAGACATCTTGGCAAATCTACTTAGATATACTCAGCTGTGTAACAGACTAGTGCTGAGTGGAGAACTAGTCAGATGTTTCAAGTAATGCAACATGCTTTATTGATTGTAGAATGGAAATGGGGGAAGAAAAGGTATTTCTGTTGACAGATTTTCTAGGACTCAGCCAATTTTGAAAACAAACAAAAAACAAGTCTAACAGTGAAAATGATGGAAGATGAGATTAACACACACCATTGGTTATGTTCAATGGAAGTGGAGCATTTGTCACAAAGGTGAAATGTTTGATGAGGTTTGAGCAGATTAAATAGCCCTGGGCCATATGCACTGTTGCACCAAAGGGTCTTTAAACCCCTCAATCTCCAGACTCAACTTCTAGTCTGTCCCACTGTTGGAAGCTGATAAGGTAGGTATTGCTATTGAGGGAACAGGAAAATCCCCTACCTGGTCAGCCAGCTTCCCCAGCCTGTGAGGCTATAGCGGCAGGATAGCAAGGACAAGAGGAGAGAAGGAAAGAAGAGAACACAAGACCAAAAACAGAAACCAAACAGACCACAAACGAAAAACAAAACAAAAAACATACAAAATCCCCCATACAGCCAAACGATTAAAGTGGGAAGTAAAAGTGGGAAGGGAAGGAGGAAAATGCCAAAAGCAGGGAACAGAATAAAAAAAAGAACAAAAACAATGTCAAATACAGAAATTTTAAAAATTAACCACTCTACCATTAAAGGTTAAAAAAATCAAAATGAGATGTCAACATCTTAGTAGTAGAGCAACAGAAGAGATGGTAATAAACAAATAACCATGGACAAACAGCTAAGTGGTTTTAAAGACATAAAGACAATGTTAGTGGATGGTTTCATTTTAGGAAGCTTTTTTTGGTTTGTTTTTCTTCCCCAAAAGAAATGGGGTTTGAATTTTATTGGCCCGGGTATTTAATCACTTAATTAATTGAACTGACAAGCCAAACTTGTTACACTACAGGATGCTAGGATGGTCTTTTGCCTCTAAAGCAGCGTACCTATGCATACTATGCTAATTTAGCAATATGGCTCAGCAAGATCCCCAAACCAACACAGAGAGATTCATAAGGAGCAGCATATTTTCTACTTCTGCTGGATTTGTTTGTGAAATTAAAGCAAGTTTTCTTTATTCTACTTCTTATTGCATGGTCTAGCTCCATGGCACATAACAGAGGCTACCTCCTCTTGAAAGGGTCATTTGTAGACACTTTCTCTTTATGCTCATCCCTGCCTAGCACCAGGGGACATGTCTCTCCCCTCCCCCAATATTTCCTCAATGCATCTGGACTCACATCTCCTTCCTTCATGTCCTCGGGACCAACTAGTTGCTCACATTTACAAGTAAGATCATATTTGTATCTGCCAAAGTGGCTACCGTTGGGGCAGCTAGGTGGCACAGTGGATAGAGCACCGGCCCTGAAGTCAGGAGGACCTGAGTTCAAATCCGACCTCAGACCAAACACTTGACACGTGCTAGCTGTGTGAATTAACCCCAGTTGCCTCACAAAAAAAAAAGTGGCTACCGTTAAATTCATGATGGAATGACCGAACAAAGCAGTTAGCACCTATTCACAAGATACCAGAGCAACCTAACACTATAACCACATTTTCACTCCCTCCCAAAATTTAGTGAAACATGTATGCGAGTCTGTGTTGCTCTTTGGATAGTTTAATTCTGATCTCACTGATATAAATTCACTGTGATTAAAACTACCAGGAGGACCCATAAGCTATCCCAAACTTGAATTCTTGAATAGCTCTCCCTGGTATCTAATTTAATAGCATCTAAAACTGGAGTGAAGTCTCCTGCTTACCTCTTCCACTGACCCCAAATACTGACATGAGCATTGTCACACTGGACTGTTTCAAAAGAATTTAGTTCTGTTCTCTGGATATATTACATAATGAGACATTGAGAAAAGTTCTGGCTCTGGAGACAAAGGACATGAATTCAAATCCCAGCTTTGATATCAACTACCATGGTGATCTTGGATAAGTCACTTAGCTTCCATGGACCTCAGTTTCCTCATCTATATAATGATGAAGTCAGATTAGATGACCTCTGAGGACCCTTCCAGACCTGTATCTCTAATCCCACATGTCATAACACTTTTGGCTCTTAATTTCTTCATCCTTCATAATAACAGAGCATATTTATATAGTGTTTGAGGTTTACAAATTGCTTTTCTCACAACTTTACAAAGTAGGTAATACGAGTATTATTGTTCCAGTTTTAGAGATAGGCAAAAAGGAGACTAAGGGAGGTTTAGTGATTTGACTATAGCCACACATCTATTCAATGTTGGAGTTTGGAAATGATGCTGTAATTCCATAACTATCAGTGGTTTTTCAGCTGAGACATATTGCCTTCTCAAAATTTATAAAGGACTTCCTTCAGAACAATTTTGTGAGGTAGTTGGTGCGAGCATTTTTATACCCATTGTACAGACCACCGAGGCCCCAAGAAGCCTGCCCAGAGGCACAAAAGTTTGTAGCAGGGCTAGGAAGAGAAATTAGTTATTCTGGTTTCCAGTCTATGACTATTTCCTCCCTTTCAGCCTCCCCCCTGCCATCATACCCCCACCCTCATCCCTACTGCCTCCCCATAAATGGAGGCAAAATTGGGAGAGACAGAACAAAGAAGGCATGCATGATATGCTTTTGTATTCCTAGAGGGAACCACACTGCATACATTCCAGATGAATATAATTATTTAAATAACATCCTTCTAAGAGTCCACATTGTCTGAAGTCAAGCTGGAGTTGGAACTAGGTCAATGCTTTCCACAAATTACCCAGCTGCAAGAGTAGTCAGCATGCCCAGGGTGGTGGTATGCTCTGGAAAATACTGTGAGTGGAAACCAACTTTCTACCTGAATTGAGTAAAGTATAAGGACCCTTCTTTCAAAATATTTTAATATAAATTCATGTGGTAAAAGCAGGACAAGAATTAGAAACTCTCTTATGCTGCCTGTGATCCCAAGAAGATCTCTTTTTTGAAGGGAAAACTTATACATGTTTGGAAAGAACAGGAAGTAAGGAAATAAAAAAAAATAATATGTCCAACTTTTAGAAAACTTGCTAGATCCTCAATCTGAACTCACCAAACAGATAAATTAGGAGGTTGTTACCAAAACACTTGTTTACTTCACCAAAGGCTGACTTGCAGGGTTTCTTTAAATAATGATGTCCCTACTGTAGTTACGTCCTTCAGCTCATTAAGTCCTTGCCAGAGAGGTCAGCAGTGGCAGGAAGACTTAAAGTGATGGTGCTAGCATCTATTCAAATTGAACATTATTCAGAAGTGAAGATACGTCACATAAATAGTAACTAGGGAACTAGGGAGTTGAACCCAAGACAATGTAAAATAGGCTAGTAAGTAGGGAAGGCTCATTCTATACATAACAGAGAAGAACCAATCATTGCAGAGTGGTGGGTGGGGTGGGGCTAACCAAAGGAGCAAAATTGCAGGGGGAATGTTTTGCCTAAAGTACTTTTAAAATCACTTTACCAACAATCCCAGGATTGAGAACTAGAAGGCATCTTACAGGTCATTGAGTCTAAGTCCCTCATTTTACAAAATGGCAGGCAGAGAGAGGTCATGTGACTTGTTAAGGTTCACACAAATACTAAATAACAGAGCTAAAATTAGAACTTACGCCCCTCATTCCCAATCTAGTGCCCTTTCCCCTAATACCACTCTGACTCTTCTCTTTGTAGGAGAAAGAGGGAGAGAAGAATTAAGCATCTTTGGACAAAGACTAGAAGTAGATCACATTCACAAAATGCCAGAGAACAGGATAAAGAGAAATGGGTAGAAGCCACAGAAAGGAAAATTTAGGCTTAATATAAGGGGGGAGGGGGGGAACAAACTTCCTAACAGAACCATTCAAAAGGGAATTGGGCTGCTGCAGGATGTAATGGGTAAGTGTAAATTGCGTAAGTGCTATTTATAGAGGATTAGTGTTATCTACTCAGAGGAAAGTAAACTACACCCCATACACCTAGAATAAAATATAAGGTCCCTTCTATCAAAATATTCTAACAAATATTCACATGGCAAAAGTTGTAGAGGAGTTAGAAACTCTCTTACACTGGCTGTGATCCCGTGAAGACCTACCTCTCTTTTCTAGGTGGATGCAGATTCAAAATCAAAGAAGCCTCTCTCAGGAGAAAGATGGCTTAGTCTAGTCCACATCTAATTGGCTTCAAGTGGGAAGATGTCCTTAGCCAGTCAGTAAGCATTTATTAAGTGGTTACTATGTTTGTGGCATTGTGCTGGGGCTACAAAGAAAGGAAAAAAACTCGGTCTATGCTCTCAAGGAGCTCACATTTTAGTCGGTGTAGAAAACACAAATAACTGTATAAGCAACACACATATATACCTTCTTGCTGCTCCTCATGCATGATGCTTTGGTCTACTGACAGCAGACCTTTTCCCTGGCTGTTCCCCTATGTCTGGAATGCTCTCACTCCTCGCCTATTCCTTCTAGTTTGTGTATGAATTGTGAGTGCGAATGAGGAGTTAAGGATGATGGCAAAGTTGAGAATCTGAGTGACTGGGAGGGCAACGGTGCCCTTGAGAGGGCTTGAGAAGAAAAGATAATGAAATTCTGTTGAGTTTGAGATGTGTACCACACATTTATTTTGAGATGTCCAAAAGGCAGCCAGGGATGCAGGGACTAAAGTCCAGGACAGTGCTTAGGGCTGCATAAATAGATGTGGGAATCAATTGTTATTGACATGATAATTGAACTCCCATGACCTGATGAGATTGCCATTTGAAACAGTACAGAAGGAAAGGAGAAAAGTATCCAGAACAGAGCTTTGGGGTATACCCAGGACAGTGGGAATGACCTAGACAAAGATCCAGTGAAGGAGATTTAGAAGGAGCCATTAGACAGATGGGAGAAGAATCAGGAGAGAACAGTATCACAAAAGTCTAGAACTGAGAGAATCTAGGAGAAGAAGGTGATCAGGAATGTCATGACTGAAGAGAGGTCAAGAAGGATGAGAAATGAGAAAAGGTCATTAAGAAGCACAGAGGGAGAAGGATGAGAGCAGTGTTCCAGCCCCATGAGGTAGGAGCCACATTTCCACAAGATGCTCTAATTCTCTCATTTAGTACCCTGGAAAGCTGTGTTATCTTGAAAATAGAAGGGAATTTGGAGTTAAATGACCTTAAGTCAAATCTTGTCTTTGCCACGTATTTACTGTGTGACCTTGGATTAATTCCTTAACCCTTCTCTCTCATAGACTGATTGTTGTCACTTACAAATGGAAATAATAATAATTTGCTCATAGTCATTATGAGATCTAATGATGTTTATAAAGTCTTATTTTGCAATAAATTTCTATATTATTATTACCATTAGTATAATAGAGCATTTCTACTCAGGTAGAGATTGGGCTAGATGACCTCTAAAGTCCTTTCCATCTATATAAGCTT